TCTCTTATTAAAAGCCTAAAGTGATGAGCACCCACAACTTCTGAAAGCAAATCATTCCACAAATTCATTGTTCTAATTGTCAGGAAATTTCTCCTTAATTCCATGTTGCTTCTCTCCTTGAGTAGTTTCCATCCATTGCTCCTTTTCTTGCCTTCTGGTGCTTTCAAAAATAGGCTGACCCCTCTTCTTTGTGAGACCTCTAATTTTTTGGAACATTGCTTCATTCACTGAGTCAGAATTAAACATTTTACAATGCTTTGGTAAGGCCACACTTGGAATACTGCATTCAGTTTTGATCACCGTGATGTAAAAAGATGTTGAGACTCTAGAAAGAGTACAGAGAAGAGCAACAAAGATGATTAGGGGATTGGAGGCTAAAGCATATAAGGAACGGCTACTGGAATTGGGTATGTCTAGTTTAATGAAGAGAAGGACTAGGGGGGACATGATACCAATGTTCCAATATCTCAAGGGCTGCCACAAAGAAGAGGGAGTCAAGCTATTTTCCAAGGCACCTGAAGGCAGGACAAGAAGCAACAGGTGGAAACTAAGCAAGGAGAGAAGCAACCTAGAACTAAGGAGAAACTTCCTGACAGTTAGAACAATTAACCAGTGGAACAACCTGCCTCCAGAAGCGGTGAATGCTCCAACATTGGAAGTTTTTAAGAAGAGACTGGACAGCCATTTGTCCGAAATGGTATAGGGTTTCTTGCCTGAGCAGGGGATTGGACTAGATGACCTCCAAGGTCCCTTCCAACTTTATTATTATTATTATTATTATTATTATTATTATTATTATTATTATTATTATTATTATTATTATTATTATTATTATTATTATTATTATTATTATTATTATTGTTACTTCAGAAGACATCCCTGTCTCTTCTTCTATTAAAAAAACCCATACATTTATTTTCTTACTAATGGCAAAAGGATATATAAAATGCAAAAGAAAAAAAAAATGTTGTTTGAATGACGCCGACTCACCTGTGGAATTTTGTAGATGCATAGAATGCTTGCCATAAAAAGGCAAACATTACTGTTTGGACCACCAATAACAGTGGCGATTTTGTTCTGGACATCACACTTATAATTTGGGATAAACCTGTCTGGGGTAGAGAGCAGTTCCATTGAGGCACGGTTAGTCCATCTGGCAAGAAAATTGCTGTTCAACACATGGAAACCCAAAGTGATATTAGGCAAGATGCTTGGATTTTCATTAATTGTTTCAACTGCAAATTGCAAAGCCAGAATATGTTGGTAATTGTGAGTTAATACGCTGTAATAAAAATAAAAGCTTTTCATGGATCTTTTTTAAATTATAACACAGAAACCACATTTCAAGAAATGAATAAAAGGCATGAATTGCTATTAGCTGGGTTGTATTTCTATGCCCCAAGGGGGAAGGGAAAAGAAAATTTGGTATGAATTTTTAAATATTTGAATTTCAGTGCTACCGGTATCACTTGGTGAAAGAATTCTTGGTCATTGCAGAGTATCCAAATCAATTTTAAACATTTATAGTTGTATAGATGTTGCCTTTGAAACATTTTCAAATGTCACTGTTGAAGTTTTTGTGTAATGTGTACATAACTTTTTCTAGAACTTTATTGTGATCAGTCTCATGTGTCTAAAGGGTGTAAGGCAAAATTATTATTTTTTCCTCAGTTACAAACATAACAGAATGATGCTTTCTTCTATAAAGAGATGACTATGATAAAAAAAAAATTGGCAAGTTGGACAGATTATATTGGATAGGGAATTTTCCAGCATAAAGGCATCTTTCTATTATCCTGCAAACTATGGGGAAATCCCTAAAACCTATATCACACATCTATTGCTAAATTGTGGCTTTATTTCTAGCTCCATGGCTAGGAGAACCTGACCCCAAAAGCTGTCTTGACAGAGATCTGTACTATGGATTTCCCGGAGGGGGAAAAAAAAAAGCAAAGGACTCAGAAGAGAATCAATGGAAAGATAAAGCTTTAAATGGGGATGATTTTAGTACAATTTTTAATGCAGCAATTTTGTGCAGAACTGTCTCAAGATGCTTTGTTTGCAGCATTTTTATATGAGCATTTTTAAAAATCAAACATTTATATTATGCTAAAGAAGTGAATTCCAGCACAATATATAAGGAAATTTACACCAATCAAAATTAAATTAGACAATGTCTGCATAATTAAACTGATAAATAATTAGCTAGGCTTGGTTTAGACTACTTTTTTTTACTGTTTATATTACCAATACAGCTGGCTGCCTTGGTTGCTGCTAGTTTTATTCTAGATACATAAATTTAATGATCAAATTTAAGAAGATCTCCTCTCCCTGGAATACAAGAGTTTAAAAATGAATAATGGAGAAAATAGAATTGTTCCAGGACAAACAAACAAATATAATGGCTTGCACAAAATCCAAAGGCAGATTTAATGCAATATAAAATAATAATTGTAAAAAAAAGAAGAAGTAATATAAACTGCATGTCTGTTTAAAAGAGATTATTCGATTTCCTGTGGATTTGGGGGACCAAACAATACATCCAGAATGATTTTGAAATGTTAAAGTTGTCCTTAAAAAGAAAATCCTCAATATTGAAAGCAAGCAATGCTTGTGCTCAATCTTCAAAATTAAATCTTGAAAATTACAGACTCCAGAATAGGGAAACATGTATTATTCTGAAGCAGAAAGGAAGAATTATTTTTTTAAAAAAATGTCCTCTTAAATAGCTAGAGCACATTTACATGCAAACCATCATCCTGACTTGATAACAAATATTCTGGGGCAATTTGCCAAGGAAATTAGAATACAGGTTAAAAGCAGGCACAATTGGTGTTAATAGCTAAAGCATCAACTAAAATATTATAAAATAAGAACTTGCAGAGAACTCTTCTCCTTGATGACAAAATACTTTTAGAAACATTCACTCTAATTCTTCCTAAAATATTCTGAACAAACTTTGTAATGTATTCCAATGATGGTATCATTGAAGGAAAAGCTCACTCTAGTCAGTGGAGTCTCTTCCCAAAAACACATGAAGCTTAAGGGCACTGAATCCATTTTTGCTGGTCAATGCAATCTTTTTACATGACATAACAGCTATATAAAATAGGACATGGTTAACATATGTGGTCACCACCAATAGCCTCTATGTATTGATACCTTCACAAAAGCTCCCATTTTGATATCATAAACATAATGACTGTGGGAAGGAAAAGTGAAGAGTTTCTTAGAAAGACAATAATGCAAATAAGTCTCCTAAGAATTCAGAGAAATAATTTTAGTGTTAGTTAGATTGGCTCACTAAAGATATAATGTGGTTCCAAACCAAAGGAAAATATGGTCTACCTTACTTGGTGAAATCATATACTTCAGAAGAAGGATCTTCTTCAAAGTTTAATAGATTGGAAAATACATAAATCTGAGAAAGAATACCACCAATGGTAAAGTCACCAGGATAAAAATATCTGTGAAGAATAGAAAGAGGATGACTCTTGGGACATTTCACAGAAGACCTCATCTGAACAATTTGAAATGTCAATGTTACTACAATCAATGCCCAATCCCCCACCATCTTGCAATTATATTGTTCATCCAGATTCCAAAACATATATATTTACTCTGATATTTAAATCAGACACACTGACTTCAGTTAACTGATTTTTGAAGCTTTCTCTGGACAATTATGAAATAGACAGATAAAATAATGCCTGTCTAGATATCCATTGACCTTGTTATTTGTCTGTGGTGTTTTTTAAAGTATACAAGTAATTATGGTTGATGTTATAATTACAGGGGAAATAATCACCTATGGAAATTGACTTTTTTGTAACATCACTGGTGAAAACATTGTCCACTACACTTTTGCAATTAAATTACAGTAATATTTTGATCAAGAGGGTGGTGTTAAAGAGACATGCTATATTCTGGATTGTCCTGTTACTTTCAACATGCATCAAAGAGATAGTGATGATATTTATAATACTAATTGATTTTAAAACAAGATATTTTCAAAATGCCAATAGTATATGTTCTTGAAGTGAAGAAAAGAGTCCTTTTTCTTGGCTTAAGATGAAGGCATTTTAATACATTTATTTTATTTTATCAACAAGAAAAAATGCAAAATGCAAAAACAGAAAAACATACATCCAACACTAAAAGCAGCAGCAGCAACAACAAAATGTGTACAAAAAGGGGGGGAAATGACCCAAATATCAAATACATTTAATATTAAACATAAAGAATCCACACCGGCTGGATGCTGGAAAAAAAAAAGATTGATAAATTCTCCTCCCCTTTACATAAAGGGTCTATAAATAGTTATAGGCTTTCCCATCCCTATTTAACAGGAATACTATACCAATATAGGATGAAGGCATTTTTGATGGAAGCAAGAGAGAAGGCTTTTTCAGATATTATAACGTTCTGTTATAACATTGGTAGTCCCCCTTATTAAAACATGCTTTATTTGGTTTTAATATATTACATTTTGCCATTCAGTGAGTTAGAGGTATTAAATAAATAAATGGAAAGAAGATGTACAGTATCTAAGCTAAACAATATATTAGTTGAAAATTAATTTCCAGCTGAAATTCTAAGGTTTGGCTCTTAAGTTCAAACACTTAAATTTCTAGGGAAATTGGTAGAATGTATCTTTGTATATGCCCCTCAGCACTTCTTGAGGTAACCTGACAATTATCTACCTATATCTATGGTTGCCATGAGCTTTTGAAAAATTCCCTGGAAAGTTAACATTTTCCTTGTATTGTTAAAAGACTTTACCAATACAGCTTAATAACATGTTTCAAGTCTTAAATTTTATTATTAACTATGATATGTACATAATTTATTTTTCATTCTTTTATTTGTTAGTACAACTGTTTTAATAGCAATGTGAAACTTGTTTTTTCACAGCAAACAGCTGATAAACTTCAATGCTAAGTAAGTCAAGGTGTTAAATTGTTGAGGAGTATAATAAAATAAACTACAATATTCTTTGACTATGACTTTCGTCTTCTTAATTGTTCCTTGTTATTCAGTTCAGGCCGCACTACAATGATATAGCATTTAGGGGAAAAGATGCAGACCAATAAACCAGCACTGGAGGCCAAGATGGAAAAAATCTCCACGGCAACCATGTATTTGCCCTTTGTGCTTAAATAAGTTGGAACAAAGGACACCCAGACACTACAGAAGACTAACATGCTGAAGGTGATAAATTTGGCTTCATTGAAACTGTCAGGCAAGTTCCTGGCCAGGAAGGCCATTGTGAAGCTGATGGTAGCCAGGAAGCCCAGAAAGCCCAGGACAATGTAAAACATGGTGATAGAGCCTTCGTTGCATTCCAGGATAATTTCTTCCATCAGGGAGTGCATGTCAACATCTGGAAAGGGAGGATCAGTCACCAACCACACACTGTAAATCAAGGCTTGAATAAAAGAGCAGGAGAGGACAATGGAGCTGGCCATTTGCTTTCCAGACCATTTTCTCATCCCACCTCCTGGTGTGGTTGCCATGAAGGCAAGAACCACAATGATGGTCTTGGCCAAAACTGAAGAAATGGCTATGGAGAAGATGATGCCAAAGGTTGTTTGTCGAAGGAGACACATAAGCTTTGTGGGCTGTCCAATAAAGAGCAAAGTGCAAAGGAAACAAAACAAAAGAGAAATGAGAAGAATATAGCTGAGGTTCCGGTTGTTGGCTTTGACAATGGGAGTCTCCTGGTGCTTAATGAAGACATAAAGCACCAAAGCTGTGAGGATAGAAAACAAAAGAGCCCAAAGAGTGAGTGTAATTCCCAAAGGTTCTTCAAATGAGAGGAAGCTGATATCTTTTGGAAGGCACAGATTCTGATCCACATTGGGATACTTATCTTCTGAACACTGAAAACAGTCTTCCATATCTGTGAAAGAAACATGCTTTAGGAAACACAATCAATCTTTGAGGGTAAACTCTTTAACTGAGTTGAATCATGAAATGGGAGAGGAATTGCCAAATAAATAGGAGTTACTATTGGATAGTAGCATTTAAGGGAAGCTGGCTTCAGTGTAGCAACCATGTGCTTTGCTCAACTTGCTTTTCTACCAATAATAATAGCAAATGATACATTATTTCTAAATGAATTTATTTTCTTCACTATGTGGGGGAATATGAAAAACAGAATATTTTTACAACTGAATAAATCAATAAACCTCCTACAAATGGCTTCTTTATATTGTTCTATTTTTACTTATTAGCTGCCATTGTTCTTATTGGATATGATGGTGATTATAAAAAATGAAATACTTTATATACAAAGCTGAATGTACAGAATCTACAATCTGCCATCTCCTGAAAACCATCTGGCTGGCTAGGCCATACATTCTTAGAACAGTTGGAAGCTACAATTGAAAATATTTGTATAAAGTTGGTGTCCAATCTATCTATCTCTCTGTTCTGTCTATTCTGTCTATCTTTCTATTGATCTGTCTATCTATCAAGAGAGAGAGAGAGAGAGAGAGAGAGAGAGAGAGAGAGAGAGAGAGAGAGACTCTCTTAATAATTACTAGAATTTTAAAGAGAAATTCTATATTTGATTTGCAATGAAATGTTGATGTGTGTTGTTTGGAAGTTGAATTAGTTTTTTTTTCCAGACAAAGAATATGGAAGAAGAATTTTTATCAATACAGTTAAGATTTAGAATTGTTTTTGTTAAAATCTGATACTTATACAAGTGAGCTAGAAGTTTATATGTACAGTACTTGAACAATAATTGCATATAGCAACACTTACCATTTTGGTTTGAAATCTTTCCTTTTGGACATAAATGACAATCATAACAGCAAAATGGTTTCCCCTCAATCTTGGTTTTACTATAACCAGAATGACAATTGTCATTACACAGAGAAACGGGGCAAACCTGTGTGGAAATGGAAGAGTTGAGCATATGTTACTATTTAGAAAATCAGTTTGTAATTTGGGGAAGTCTAACATGTTTTCTTTTCCTTTTTGTTTTTTGGTCTCTTTGAGTCAGTCTTATAACCTGGTGACTGCCTGGGCAAGCCTGTGTACTTTTCTTGGCAAGATTTCAGAAGTCATTTGCCATTGCTTCCTTTCCGTGGCTGAGAGGGGGGTACTCGTCCAAGGTCATTCAGCTGGCTTTATGACTAAAGTGGGACTAGAACTCACAGCTTCCTGATTTCTAGCCTGGTGCCTAATATTACAAGTAACACATTGACAATGATTTGGCACAAGTTATGAGTGTGGCTGCAACCATTACAACAAAATAAAAATAATATTCCAAAAGAGATTGATTTTACCTCCCCACCCCTTAACTTTGAAGTGAATTTTCTGTCATCATTTCTACATTTTAAAGCCTAAGGAAGTTTAAAGAGTTTAAACAGAAAAACCAAATGCACAGGTATAGTATAGGTGGTATCTTGCTCAATAGTAGCAACTGTGAGAGGGATCTTGGAGTCTAGTGGACAATCACTTACATATGAGCCAGCAGTGTGCTGCATCTGCCAAAAAAGCCAACACAGTGCTAGGCTGCATTAACAGAGGGATAGAATTAAGATCACATGAAGTATTAATACCACTTTACAATGCCTTGGTAAGGCCACACTTGGAATACTGCATCCAGTTTTGGTCACCATGATGTAAAAAAGATGTTGAGACTCTAAAAAGAGTACAGAGAAGAGCAACAAAGATGATCAGGGGACTGAAGGCTAAAACATATAAGGAACGGTTGCTGGAATTGGGTATGTCTAGTCTAATCAAGAGAAGGACGAGGGGTGACATGATAGCAGTGTTCCAATATCTCAGGGGCTTCCACAAAGAAGAGGGAGTCAAGCTATTCTCCAAAGTACCAGAAGTCAGGACAAGAAGCAACGGATGGAAACTAACCAAAGAGACAAGCAACCTAGAACTACGGAAAAATTTTCTGACAGAACAATTCATCAGTGGAACAACCTGCCTCCAGAAGCTGTGAATGCTCCAACACTGGAAGATTTTAAGAAGAGACTGGACAACCATTTGTCTGAAATGGTATAGGGTTTCCTGCCTGAGCAGGGGGTTGGATTAGATGATCTTCAAGGTCCCTTCCAACTTCAATATCAATATCAATATCATATCACCTGGTTGAAATTGTTGGGCCATATGATGGCATTTTCAGAGATGGTGAATACTTTCTCAGGAGAACCCAGTGCTGCTACTCTTCCAACTTTTACTCTCTGGAAGGATTGATTGGGGAATGTAACCCAATTTATAATATCAAATCCAGCTATTAATTCTCCATGCGAACTAAAGGTGAAGGTTTCTCCAATACTATTATTAAATGAGTTGCTTTTCAAATAATGATGAAGCTAAATTGAAATGGGAAGAAAAGGACAAAAGAACTCCATTAATAATAATCCAACAATAGTCCAGGGATGACAGAGAATGAGGTTGGATGGAGTCACTGAAGCAGTAGGTGTGGACTCCAGAAGATGGTAGAGAACAGGAAGACCTGGAGGAACGTTGTCCATGGGATCATGATGGGTCAGACACGACTGCGCAATTAACAACAATAATAGTCCATTATTTTACATATATAAAATTTAAATATTATTAACCTATCATGATAGACATTTATTCTGTTCCTGCTTGGATCTCTCCCTTTAACCTCTGATATTTATTTATTTATTTTATTTATTTATTTAATTTAATTTATATGCCGCCCTTCTCCCGACAGGGACTCAGGGCGGCGCACAACATATTTAAAACCAGAACATATATACAATCCCCCCCTTAAAACCGAATTAAACCGAATTTTAATGTTGCGTCTTCCGAATATTTAAAACCCAATGTAAAAATCCACCCTAGGTCAGGTCCGCTTGCT